TTAGTTTCAGTGCCCCAGCTTGGCGAAGAATGAGTAAAGTAAAAATTTATTTTCTCTTATTCATTTTATGGTAAATTGTAAAAATCATATGTATTAGAATTTTGTAAATATACGTAAATGCTTGAAAGTTATGTAAAAGTAGAATTTAGTCTAGAAGCATAAAATTTTAGATGCTAAAAGTAAATGCTCAAAAAAGCAATGAATTCAAATTTAAGTTATTAAACTGTAGATAAAATCATGCTTTAGAGCGAAAGCCTGCATGTCTAAAGATGAAATGAGGGGGAAGTTTAGAATGAATGTGTTTTGTAGGGTTCTCCACCTACACTTGAATTTTAAGAATGTTAAAGTAGCTCATCGAGTTGTAGAATGTCGAGTAAGGTGTGTCTATTTGGTCGTTGAATTCTAACAAATCATTGTGGTTAGGGGAGAAGTGTTGCAATACTAAAACACGAATATTCCCGTTTGACACCACACATGGTGGAGAGCCAGGGTAAAGTTAAATTCATGTTTGAATACTTGAATGAATGTGAATTAAGCAGTAACTAAGGAAAAAAAATCGTTTAAAAACAAAAAAAATTTATTCAGTGTCAAGAAAGTGTAAATTATAATGTATTTAGAAAGATACTGATACTTATTCCTTCCAGATACTGGAAGGAAGAGAGACCAAGATTGATTGCTGAAGTCCAGGAAAAGGTTGCTGTAAGAAGAGAGAATTAAATAAGTATCTACAGAAATTTTAGTATACAATTTGTGAGATAACAGATTTTTTTTGTGTCAACGAGGCTCTTAAAATTTAGATCAGAATTGAGAAACTTTCCAACAGGTCGTTTCTAGGACCTGCTTCCAAGTTTTCCAAATTCTGGCAGCGGCAAATGTAGGGTTTATATTTATTTTAACTAACATTTATTTTAAGTTTAAACTATCTTTCCTGTTAAGCCTTACTTTCCCCTGGAATTGCCAATGCCAGAGTATGTAAATTTTAGTAGAACGCGCAAAGGATTCAAATTATCAGCGGAAGTATCTGAGTTAAATAGAAGGGAAACGAGTTCGAAAGTGTGTGATTTCTTACTGCACGAGCGCGGAGGTAGTTAGCGAGAATTGAAGAACCCCGCGTTCGGCCTATGTGCTTGCGGGAAGTAGTGTTAATCGTTCAAGTGAGCTTCAGAAGTTTGCTGAATTAGCAGCGGTATTTAAAACGCGGTGAGGTTAGTTACTTTTTAGAGAGCCTCGTAGTTAGAGTCTGTCTTTAGTTTCTTTTCAGGTTATTATTTTTATTTTGACCGCCGAGTTGGCGCAGTTGTGAGCGTCAAGAGCACGCAATTGTAATTTTACGTTGAATAAAAAGGGACTTAAACCCTTCACAAGACTCTGTCTTTTATCCAGTTTTCACAGTCACCTCTTGGTTGCGTGCAAGTTGGAGGCGCGCAACGTCTACATTAAATACCGAACGCAATAATCATACATTTACTTAATAAGCAACAAAGCGGGAAAAGTCAAGGAGGCACCCATGTGAATACTAGAAGAGGCGCCGAATTGGCTATACGGATTCGAAAATTGAATTATGTTTTTTAATTTGTTAGTAATTATTAGAGGAAATACGCTTCGTCAAACTTAAATCAATAAAACAAACCAAAAAAAAAATTCTAAGAAAACCTGGAAATTAATGCAATATGCATTTCAGTGTTATTTCTTATTTATCAAAAACGAATTTTTTAACGTTTTCATTTGAAAATTATAAATAATTGGCTACATTATTTTTCTGAATTTATAAAACTACGATTAAAAAATACTTTAAGAATTATGGTATAATTATGCTATAAGAATTATGATATTTTGATTTAATGCAATTACTTTTGCTTAATACAAATGTAGCTATTTTTATATTTATATGGACGCGCATTTACTTTCTGCCTCAGGTGAGAAAATATCTTGGCACGGCTCTGATAAGCAATTAATATCAGAAATATGCACAAAATTAGTAGCAAGGCAATACAAAACTTCCTTTTCTGGTTTGGATTTCGAGAAAAAAATATCTTTTTTCGTCTAAACAAAGCATGGGCACAAAACGTGTTCCTTCCTCCGTATAAGGGCAAAACCAACCCATCTGCTTAATCGCCTCCAGGCACTAATAAAAGGACAGTAGGAAACCATCACCAAGTGAAACGACTTGTTGATCGCCCAACAAGGAACATACCTCCATGACAAGGAAGGGGGGAAGAAAATCTAACAAGGGCGTTTTCAGGACAATTTTGGTTCACTCTAAAGGAAAAAAAAATTGGAAACATGGTTAATTTTTACTGCAGTTTTCGAGTCGTAAATAGATTTGAATGCGAGCCACCTGGTGGGATAAGTAACGATCAAATATAATTTCCTTATTTTTGTATTGTTATCGTTTAAATAATTTATGTATCTATAAATGGTGTTTAATGTGGTTGTGGTAGAGAGACTTTCAACTCGACGTATAAAATGTATATTCGACCAATACTACATTATTGCTGAGAGATATTGATTTCGGCTACGCGAGATGTGATACAACGTCTGGAGGTTTTCCAAATTCAGGCACTGGGCATTATAATCGGGGCTGTTAAAACGACTCCCATTCTGACAATGCATTTGGTATTGGCAAACCAACCAATGACAAACCTGATTCAGAAAAATGCTATCATCCTTTTCCAGAAGGGCCGTGATTGGGTTTCCGGTCAAAATGGCGCAAGAGCAAGATTGTAGTTAGGGTAAAAACGCTTTTCAGCATCTTTCAGTTTTTGATGGGGTACGTGTATTCGAATACTTTTGTGACCGGCTGTACCTGTCGATCGATCACTAATGAAAAGGTAACGCGATGTATGAAGCTGGGAAAAGTCCGTCGCTTCTACTCTTCCTTTTTCTGAAACTAGAAGTAAGTTCCTTGTAAGGAAGTTCCTTGTAAGGAACACGGTGAAACACTTTTTTTTTGCACTATCCTTGATTTCCGATGATACCAGCACAAATTATTGTCACGCGATTTGGAACGTTTGTGGTCAGAAAAATTGGTACGAGATGAGCTCCCGAAACAACGAAATTCGGACACTTCTTTCCGAAGAGCTTTAATTTCTTCACAAAGTTGAGCTGGAGAGGAACCGTTAGTATTCGTTATTAGAGACGATGGCGGATATATTCGTGTTGTTGATAGCTAAAATTCGATCACCTACTTCCGCAGCTTTATAAGAAGTAATAGGAGAGATGGAAGCTAATATAGTTTGAACAGGAACAGGCATTGCTTAATTAAAGAGTTCAAATAAAAGTGAATCGTCTATATTGTGATTCTCTGCGTGACGTCTTCGCTAGGTTTTCTATCTCCGATGCTTTCGCCTGCTAGCAGCCAATGAATCTCTTGAGTCTTGGATTCTGAACATCTTTCAATAACTTTTGATTTCAGATCCTCATATGTATTGACTTTATCGGGCTGAATGATGACATCGAGAACAACAGTAGAAATATTAGCTGGTAAGTGAGCTACGATGTAGTTGAATTTTGTCTTTTGCTCTGTTATCGGTTTAAGAGCAGCTAATTCGAAAGTAGATTTCAACATGGGAAACCAAAGAGATGGATCAACTTGAATGAAAGGTGGAAGCACCACAGCAAAAGTTTTCGATTCGTCCATTTTTCAGGTGGAACACGCAGCAGCGGGAAGAATCAAACCCAGAAGTATCCGTTACTGTAAAGGTCACCATTGATGAGGGTTACCATTAAAATATGGTTGCCATAGATGAGTGGTTGCTATTAAAGGCAATATTGGTTTGTCTCACTCCATAATTAAATGAAACAGCATTTGATATAAAAATATGTTTTATTATACACATAGGAATGAGACTCGTACAGGGAGCATTGCGTACAACGGCGACCGCCAACAGAGGCTGTGAGGTGAGACAGAAGATGCGACGTAACAGAACAGGGGTTGTGCCCTTCTTGCTGATTGGCTGATTGCGGCAAGCATGATGAATTGCTGCAATATCACGAAATTCTTCAGTAGTTTTCTGAAATCTGCGGAATATTTTTGCAAGCTGAAGAAGCCAGGGGAAAAGCTGCAATTGACTATTTGCCCTGTGAAGCTTTTAGTGGAGTGAGATTTTAGAATCTCTTCGTTTTCCGTGTACGATGACTGAGATAACCTCTTCTGGCCACGGCAGATGGCGCCAAAATTCTGCGAAGTGGATCTTTTCGAAGGAAGATTTTTTGACTTTTATCCTGATATTTGATTTTTCCTGCCTGTGATGTACTGCCCATCTTTCTCTCGCCTGTTACTGCCTCATCCTTTGGGTATCTCTTTCATTACTTTTCTAAGTTAGCACCTATGCGGCATTACTTTTACTATCCGGAAACAGTGCGCTTTGCGCAATATAGCAGATACACTAGTTCAGACTAGATTAAACCATAGTCTATCATGTTTTCTTTACGAAATAATCTAAACACCGTGGATTTTTTATGAAAATTTGCAAAACGAAATTTGATCAAATATAAGTAATGGTGAAGATTTCACTGCCTGCTTCAAAGAATTTGAAAGTAATGCACATACTTGCTGGACACTGAGGATAACTGTGTACAAATGCAAAATAAAATGTGATCAGCTTTCAAAGGTAAGAGCAGCAGAGCGAGAACACATTTTCGTTTGTTTACCTCAAATGAGCTGAAGGTCCTTAGAAAGAAATCAAAGAAGAAAGTAAATATCAAGGTCCGTTCTTTCTACAGACCTTGATATTTACTTCCATTGGTATAAAGAAATGTGGTCCATATTCTTAAAGGAGCGAAGGTGGCGCAACCAAGGCTGTTCTCTGTAGCGTATCCGGATTTTTAGTATTATTTAATTTTTATAACATTTTGAACAGTATGAGACAAAGTTAAATAAATGCTTGTTTCGTTCTTTCAAATAAATTTTAGTTTCATATTTTAAATTTATTCCCATTTTGGATTATATATAAACATATTTTGAATTTTATGAAATTTTAAATATGGAAGAAGCTGATTACGAAAGAAGAAAATTGTTTTATTGGCAGCACATTGCCGTACCGGTTAGCCAATGGAACATTACTTCTGAATTTTACCGCGAACTAACGTAAGTACGTTACTCTTGTCATCTCGTTGTGTTCTGGTGAATTACCTTTGTTCTGAAAATGGTAAGAAGTGTTATCTTTTTTAAAATAATAATACCTGCAATTAACTATTGAAGTTATTTTAACATTGTAAAACCTTTTGTCTGCTTTTAATGTTAGGCTGGTGGAAAAGCAGGTAAAGATTCTGGAAAATCCAAGGCCAAAGCGATTTCACGTTCTGCTAGAGCTGGATTGCAGGTAAGCTTAAAGCTGAATTAAAATATTGATTTCATATTAATTACATTATGTTGTTGATAAACATATTTGTTCGAAAAATGTGCGTGACTTGTCTCTATTCTTCAGACGAAGGTATCCCAGTAGTAACGCATACGACTAAATGCGAACTGTTGAATTACATTCGCGAAATGCCAAAATAATATTATTATTAATTGTTATCATGATCAGTTGAGCTTCAAGACTATTTATTAGAGTTTAAAATGGTTATTGTAAACGGATACACTAAATTTAATTAATCAAAAAGAAACGAAAGTTAGCAATTTGAATTTGCGTAATCTGTAAATGCTGTTTAAATCTCAGTCGATCATGTAGGCCAAAAGTGTATCGTATAGGTGATTCATTTGTTATAGAAGGATATTTCAGTAAACGAATATTTAATGAAAAAAAAAACTGAAAAAGATTTACCTGAAAGTAGGTTACTAAAGTTCAAGGTTGCAAAGAACCAGTTTTCGGTTTTTGCTCGTCCACGTAATGCTGTTTCCCATTTTCTTTGATTTTGTATGTTTGCAGATATGTTCAATAGTTTCTCATTTACTGTGAGTGCATATAGAAGTAATCGGAAAGAAGCATAATTTTTTCTATTGTGGGTGTGTAAATTAGATATTATTCGTCTTTTATTTGAAATAAATTAAACTGTGTGAAATAATGCTGGAATTGACTTTTCCTTTCTTTTTGTTACTAGCTAATAATTTTTGTTAATAGTTAATAGCTTTGTTTTGTCCATAAATGTGAATTTGTTTCTCATTTACTGTGAGTGCATATAGAAGTAATCGGAAAGAAGCACAATTTTTTCTATTGTGAGTGTGTAAATTAGATATTCATCTTTTATTTGAAATATTTGATATTATTCGTCTTTTCTTTAGAAGTTCTTGAATGGAATCTTTCCCTGTAGGTCAATGTTCTTTTATATTATGTCAAAATTCATAATCAAACAACTTCTTGATGCTAAAGTTTCCATGATAGTATTTTTCATTAAATTAGAGTATTATGTTATGTGTATATATAGTACAAAGTAAAGCATTGGCAGTCAAGGTACTATTTTAATTCAGTGGAGCTTCTTTATTTATAATATGATTGCATACAGCTTTTTTTGGAGTTTTGAGGATATTTTGTTTTGTGATGACTTGTGAAAATGGATATATGTATATTTTGTTATATTTATCTTTGGCTCTTTGAATTTTTTTAAATACGTTTTAAAAATACAAGCACGTGTCTTTCTATTTATTTTAATCCTAAAATTTTGGGTAAAAATATATTTATGGGCGAAAATTGGCGATTTTTGGCAATACATGGATATCGAATTTGTGCAGTTTTTTTACTTGTTATTTTGTCTATGTGTAGCAGTGATTTTTGCACCAAAAATTGCTGCTACACAAAGACAAAATAACAAGGTCAAAGAATCGCACAAACTGGGTGTCTATATACACATCGACCTATTTTCACTTAAAAAAAAATAATAATAAATCAGAATCGCACAAACTTGGCATTGTGCACTCCTTTAACTTTGTCCATGTGCACATTGATCTGTTTTCACTTAATTCGAAGGAGCATCCAATTCTGCAGTAGAACCAAACAAAAAATACGTAATCTCAATAAACTATGTTTTAAATCAAACAATAAAATAACATAAAAAAGGAAATTCATCTTGTGCATCTAGGCACTACACAAAGCAAATATTCACTTACCTAATTTAGAAATTTCTGAGTCCTTCAAACTGTGGTATACAAAATTCCGTAACGACATCCAAAAACTTCCTACAATTATCTAAACTAGAATCCGTAATCGGCATGGCCGCATAAATGCACAAAAATAAGAGTAAAAAATGGCCTCTGTAGGGCCAATGTTCAACCATACCTATTTCTTTCCTACAAACAGGACACTTATAATGGCTACTAAGTAAACCTTCATTTAGACACCAGTCGATTAGTGCACTTTTCCCCTTTCGTTCCAAATTGTATAGAAACTGAACTTAATCTTACAACATCCAGCCATTCTACTGTCTAAACCACAAAACAAGCAATGTACTTCCTAACCAACACACACCACAAGCCCTTACAAATTTTTCTCCCATCATTCAAAATTTATGGCAACATGCAATTGATTATGTCATAATAGGTTTTCCATAACATTCAACTAGTCAAGTTACCATAGCGAAACAACTTCACGATAATACAAGAGGCACCCTTCAATCTACTATAACCAAATTTTGTTATTAATGGAGCATGTGGTATTATGCTGGCAGGGGGTGCTGCAATTTTATTACCAGTAATTGTATCAGTGTGTCAATCGTAAATATTTTAATTAATTGAAATAAAGTAGCATGTATTAACAGTTAAGATAAAATAATTAAAAATGTTGGGTTGATCTTTAGATTATGGTAACTTGGCGAAAATTTGGCGACCAACTCTCCTACAGCAACCCTCTATTTTTTTTTTCCCGCCGCCATTTTGTCTTCACGAAGTAAAGACATGTTTCTTTTCTTTTTATCTACTGAACACTTCTTCCAACAATCTACTAGCCGAATTACACTTATGCTGGAAATTTTATCTAACAAAATTGCTTAATCATGACAAATATTCACTGCAAAATTGGGAAAAAGTGCGCAATACCATACTTCTTACGCGTTTTTCAAAATAACACATACACATAAACCATGTACATGTCGACTTATTTTTACTTTAAAAAAATCCCAGAATTACACAAAAATGGCATTGCGCACACTCTTCACTATATCCATGTACACTGCTTTTTTTTCTCATAAATTAGAAAAATTTCACGAAAATACATGACAATTTTCTGAATCTTTAAACCCGGTAAAAAGAACATATATGAAATTACCTGATCGCGAAAAAGTATATACCCTTTCCAAATATGAACATTTCCACATATGAAATAAATAAAATATCCAAAAACTTTTACCTCTAAATCATCTATTATATTATAAACGTCACCAACGAATTCTTACCACAAGCATTACAAATACTTAGTGTCAAATATTTAAATTATTTCCATGCACGTTTACTTCAACTAAAACGTATACCAAACTCCTACAAACATAAAATTCACAAAATAACTATCATTTAATTAAAATATCACTAAACCATGTACACGTCGACTTATTTTTACTTAAAAAAAAAATCCCAGAATTGCACAAAAGTGGCATTGTGCACACTCTTCACCATATCCATGTACACTTCTTTTTTCTCATAAATTAGAAAAATTTCACGAAAATGCATGACAATTTTCTGAATCTTTAAACCCGTTAAAAAGAACATATATGAAATTACCTAATAACGAAAAAGTATATACCCTATCCAAATACGAACATTTCCACGTATAAAATAAATAAAATATCCAAAAACTTTTACCTCTAAATTATCTATTATATTATAAACATCACCAACGAATTCATACCGCAAGCATTACAAATATTTAGTGTCAAATATTTAAATTATTTCCATGCACATTTACTTCAACTTCAACCAAATTCCTACAAACATAAAATTCACAAAATAACTATCATTTAATTAAAATATAATTAAATTCAAAAACACTACTTAAAATATAAATAAGCACATACATTAAATTAATAAAAATTAGCTTACAATCCTAATTACTTTAAACTAAATCATTGCTAATAACAATTCTCCCAATAATACCAAATTACTTTACCTCCACCTTACATTTAGAACAATGCATAAAAATAATATCCTCAAATAATTAAAAATACTAACTTACCTAATCTTCTTCAGAATCTTGCTTACATGGTGGATACACTTTTGTTATGGATTCAATAAAATTATTGAACGATTTTTTTTCTGCGAATTTCCCTTCCTTACACTCCGTTTCACAAAATTTCCATTTTCACCAGATTTCTTGCACCGCCATTCAAACTTATCAGTAATATCCTTCCTTTCACACAATCTCATTTCATTCCCACATTTTGGACATTCATACTTATCCGCAATTAAACCTACACTCATGCACCGTTCAACCAATTCTTTTGAATTATCACACAAACGCATTAAAAATCTAGAATTCACTTTAGACAGCGCCATACAATCCCAAAATTATTCAACCCTACTTCACACAACACACAATGAAGCTTAATACAAAATAATATACAGCCAAAGATATTTTTCCAAATTCCCCCTTTTTCCGATTAAAGAACCGTAATTCGTCCATTAATATCACATGACATATCCCATGATCTCTCATTTCCCTCACATAAAATAATGCATAATTGGAACTGAGTACTGCTCACATTATTACCAAAGTCCCAGGTAGTAACCTTTATCGCCTCCAAAATGTCGCCAAACTACCAGTTACCATATTCTAAAGATCAGCCAAATGCTGTTTTGAAATTACTCTTAGAACACAAAGCTAAAAATGTTAGAATGATAAGGAATGAGAGAATGGTTATAAAATAAGTGACAAGTAATAAATAACATTTGGGTATTCTTCTGTTATCGGTATTTGATTCGTATATATATATATGTATATATATAGTGTGTGTTTATGTGCACACATATATATGTATGTACATACATTCAAACATACATACATGCATTTCTAAATCTGATTCCTGTAACACCAAAAAAAAAAAAAGTGACAAATAGTGCCTATAATTCATTGGCATGATATCTCTACTCCTTTCACACATATAAAATGCTGCTTGTGAAAAGTTTTCAAAGTCTTTATTTGTATGTATTAATGTCAGAACATGTGCAGTTTTTAAAGGTTTTTTTAGATCCACATTCAAAAGTACAGGTCTTCATCCATTTTCTTGAAATATGACTAGCATTTTAAACTTCTATTCAATCTGATGTAAAAAGTAAACTGTAAAAAAAGAAAAGTAAACTGCCTATAAGAAGCCAACTGAATATAACAATATATTTTAGTGGAATTTTTGTCCAGTCTCGGATTTTAAAGTAAAAAATATGTACAATTTGTATCTATGC